GGGCTGGGCTCAGAAGATGCACTCTTGTGTTGAATTTCTCAGTATCTGAGGAATGTCAATGCCATAAACCAGTGTGGTCTGCTGGAGAGATGAGAAGAATGTCAGAACCAGCCTACCATGTATGTCTCTAGCTCTGTAACTAAGACCAATCGTGAGAATTACAAAGAGACCACTGATATTCAAAGTCAGGAAGAACCTTCCTAAAGTCAGGGCAGTTTGTTGATAGAATGGGTGATTGTGGATCCACATAAACCCAATGTCAGGAGATTTGCAGGGAGAGTGTTTTTCCCTCAATATTCCAAAATAATGTCTGAATATCCCAGAAGGAAAAAAAATCATAAAAATTGGAAATGTCATAGACCTGACAAAAGAACATGAAAACAAAAACGTAAAGTATTAAAGCAGAGGTCTATTTGTTCCACAGTCATATAGAATTGCAAAATTTTCAGCAAAATGGAAAGTAAAAACAAAGAGTATAAGCATCAGGTTATAGAGAGCACTGCCCCGCCTAGATTAGTATCAGCCATTTGCTGTGCTGTGCTGTGCTATGAGGGCTAGTGAGTTTCTTGTCAATGACACATCCAAGCAGAGGACAATGGCCATTTTGCAGGGAGAAGATGCTGAAGCTATTCTCAAGCACAGGTGGAGAAGCAGATTCAATGGGTTTCTTTCAGTCCTAACATTCTAGGGTTCTACAAAGGGAGGCAAGAAATTTTCAAGGAAATGCTAAAATAGAAGGTAGGGAAAGAAGAGGTGCTTTTTAAAGGTTCTTAATGTCAACACCTGCTTAATAGTGCCACCTTGCCCATCCTCTTCCTAAGAGAACTTCCCCCAGCAGCAGGTATGTTCCCTGCCATTATGGGCTGTGACAGGGTTGTATTTGTGTTCTCACCTTAACAACCATTGTGAGGAGGGCAGATGGTCATATTGTTTTAGTCAGAATAAACATTATACCAGAGAGAGGCCTTTCTGATGAAAGAACAGTGTCTGGGTGATATTAGAAGTGAGACTATCTCTGAGGAGTTCTGGGTATATACAATGCTGTTTCTAAAAATTCTTCATGTTAAGAGCTCTGTCGTTGTCTCGTGAACAGCAAACACTGGGTACAAAGGGCTCCCATGTCTTTTTACCTACTCTGTTAGAGAATCTTCCCAGCCTGATTCTGATTCTGTCTGGTTCCAGTATGTGGAACCAGGGCCTTCTGCATGGCAGTGTGCAGTAGGTGCTCAGCAAGTGGTGGATTTGTATTAGGTAGGAACTTCCTTCCCCTCTTGCTTCATGTTCCAAGTGGAGGGACCACCATTAGAGTAACACTTCTGCCCTCTCCCCCCGGAGGAGGAGTGATTTATCTGCTTGGTAAATTTAAGATAAGGAGGTGAGCTGGCTCAGCTCTCTCTCTCCCCAACCCTACCCCACTCCCCCCTCTCAGGGCCAGATGCTTGTAAAGCATTATCATCAGCTCTGAACCTATCAGCCCTTGTAGGAGAGGCCTGCATTTTGGGAATTAAGTTCAGTACTGGGAAGTGTTAGCAAGCAATTTGGCTAAATCTAAGCCATGCTTATTGTTTTATCAGTAGTAAAGCTGACATTTTAACCTCCATCTGCCTGACTCCTTGGGGTTCCTCTCAATTAAGAACTCAGGCAGGGAATGGGGTGTCATTTATTAGCTCCCTAAATCCCAACAGTTCAAGTTTCCAACTTGAAGACAAGACCTTCCCAATGTGGTTCACCCATCTCTCCAGGCTTAGCCCATACTACCGCCTTCCTTTTTTATCCTTGAAAAACTTCAGGGTGCTAGTCATTCTTTTGTATCCCTTGCTATTTTATGTTTTTATGCCTTTATGTTATTTTTTTTTTCTGTCTGCATCCTCATTGACCTCCACTCCACTACCCCATCTGCTAATGCATATCCACTGATCTGTCCTAATGCCTCATTTCAGGGAACACATCCAGGAAGTCTTCCCTGATTGTCACCTTCCCACCATTCCTTACTCAGTTTCGGTCTCCCATAGGAATAAAGCTCTGAGATGAACATGCTTACCATATTGTTTTAAAAATCTCTCTCTCACCACTACATTGTTAGCATATTAAATAGAGACTAAGTGTTCTTCATTCAGAAACTTTCACAGAAGACATGCACAGTAAATATGTGTTAAATCAATGCATGAATTAGTCAAGAGTAGGCGATACCCAGTGCTGAGACCAGGCTGAACTGGGAGAGGTATTTACACCAAGAGATGGGGAGCAGAATCAAGGTGATAGCCAAGGAGATAGGGCCAACTGTTGTATAGTCCACAGAGCAAGGACAAAGTGAGCAGAGGTAAATACAAATGGACAGGAGAAAGAAGAAGCTGAAAAGGAAAATAGTGCACAGAATGATTAAGGACAAACGATATAGAGCTAAAACCGTGAGGGAAAAATGAACCCTAATGTCAGGTGCATGGTCTAGGGAGGAATGGAAGCTTAAAGCAAGAATTTGGTGACAGTGGAGTGCAGAAAATAATCACAGGAGTGAGCAGAAAGAAGTGTGGATCCTAGTCCCAGCTTTACCACTAAAAACTTGGGTGATCTCGGATAAATCTTTTCTTTTTCCTGGGAGAAAGTTTTCTCATCTGCAAGCTTAAACTGCGTGTCTTATGTCACTTCTAAGTTCCTTTCCAGCTTGAATGTATCATGATCCTCCAACAACCGTTCCACAGTATGATGGGGGAGAATTCTTCTGTTACACAAATAATATGTAATTTTTATAAATATATGAACATATATTTTACATGTAAATATATTATAATATTGAATCTCCATTTTATTCTTTCTATTTCATCAACCAAGGGTGTTTCTTCTATATTGACCTCACTTCTTCTGAAATCAAGGAGATGAAACTTCATCATTTTTGAGATCCTTTCTAGATATAAAATGCTTATTGTTCTGTAATTTTCTTTGTTCATTGAACACTTACTCTTTGTTCCTCTTTGTATGTGGCATTGTGGCACTCTCTGTTCTGAATAAATCTATAACCCAGTTGAAACAACAACATCTTCAAAGTGATTGAGAGAAATTTAGATAACTTAGTGCTAAATTGTGTGTTATAGACTCTAACAAATTGACAGAAATAAGGAAGATGAAGAGTAGCTGAAGATATTAAGGATATAAGGAAGATTTCCTGGAGGAAGAGGGCCTGCCAGGGTAGGAAAAAAGATAGAGATGAAAGGATGGATGGATGGATGGATGGGTGGATGGATAGATGGATGGATGGATGGAATAGGAAATAGGGTATTATTTTCTTTCTTTTGTTCTTTTTTAATTTTGTTTTATATATATTTTTTGAGACAGGGTCTTGCTCTGACACACAGTCTGGAGTGCAGTGGCACCATCTCAGCTCACTTCAACCTCTGTTTCCTGGGCTCAGGCAATTCTCCCATCTCAACCGCCTGAGTAGCCACCATGTTGGCTAATTTTTGTATGTTTAGTAGAGATGGGGTTTCTCCATGTTGTCCATGCTGGTGCTTGGACTCCTGTGCTCAAGTGATCTGCCTGCCCTGGCCTCCCAAAGTGCTGGGATTACAAGCGTGAGCCACCGCACCTGGCCATAACAGGATATTCTTTTTTCTTTTTCTAAAAAAACAAAATCTTTATGTTTCTTTACTAGAGCAAGATTCCTGATCAGTATACAGTGATGTGTTTACTAAACGGAGACCTGTGCAGAAATTACACACTATCTATCTAGATAGGTTGTTACATTTTTGCCTATTGATGGAATAGTTAAGTTTATCAAGTTTTATACATCAAAAAGCTTTTGAATTTCACCAGACTGTCCATTAATTCACCTCTGAAAAAGTGGCATTTAATTTCAGCTACTACATTTACAGCATTAAAAAGCTTATGCATTAAGGTGCTTCTCTGTACAATGGCATTGAGCAGACAGAGCCGAGTCCATTATCCCACCCAGATTCATGTAGTCACATTTGAGAGCTTTATACCAGAGAGCAGGGCCAGTTACTGCTAACCATCACAGACTTCTTACTCTGGGAGCCTATCTTCTTGGCCACATTTTATATAGCCAATGAAGACATGCCAGCAACCATCCCAAGTATAACTTGGCATTAGAGCACCAGGTCTGTTGGATGGTGGTGGCAGGCCCTATTATTTTATATTCAGGTAAAACGCCAATTTTAAAACCTTACACTTGGAAATAAAAATCAAGGGCAGAATATACTCAGAAAGTATTCAGCAATCTGGTATCTCAAATGATGTGAATACTTTCAGAAACCAATGGCAAATTTTACCCACGTTTCCCAGCTATGGAGATATTAATACATTGATTCAAATCCTGTTACTCAATTCACATAACCCTGAGGTCATCCTCCAAAGTGCGTATCAAAAAATAGGAAGTTAGAGTGACAGAGTTTGAAAGTGATGTTATGCAAGTCAAACTTGGAAGGTCATAGTAAGCATACCTATGCTGAGAGAGAAGCATCAAATCCTTTGTGTACACATTTAGTTTTATTGTAACAAAGCAACCTGTACACTTTTAACGTTTAAAACTGAGCATCAGCCTTCCTTTCCAGTGAAACAAAAAGAAAATTTAAAAATAAACAGGAACAACATTTCAATAGAGAATGTCAATTCCAAATAAGATTCCACAGGTTCTGCTGATTCTCCCACTGAGTGGCAGGGCTCAAGTCATCATCAGGAGATAATTTATTTTAAAAGTATCATCTTAAACTGCAAGGATATCTGTCAAATATCACAATTAAACATGCCAAAGGAGAAGCCATGTTGTCAAAATGCCCACTTAACCCACCCAAACATCTCAAACCCACCCTTTGCTGACCTTCTAAAACCCCATTTTTTAAAATTTCTTTCTCTTTTTTTAAACAAGAGAAAGTAGACAGATATATGTTGGTAAATGCTAACTGTCCATATCCACATAGAGACACAGTGTATTCTCTGAGCCCAACAAACAGAGAACGGAGGAAAAAAGCTAGAATTATACACACTACTACACAGGGGCCTAGCACCCTCCAGCTTCCAGCAGAGCAAAGGGAGCAGGGTTTTCTTTTTTCCCACAGAGCTCGGTGGTGTTGATTCCATACAGTTTTTATTCAGATAGTAAGCAATAAAAATGAATTTCGAGCAGAAAGGGGTAGAGACTTCCCATTGTATTCTGCTCAAGGTATTTCCCCCAAAATAAGTTGAGAAAAGAGACCTCAAGAACAGGGTGACTGAGCACGAGAGGGGAAACAACAACAACAACAACAAAACTGCAACTTGCTCCCAGGGACTGGAGAAAATTTTTAAAAAAGGAAAGTTGGAATCTATCAGTGTTCTATTAGTCATCTTCTTCATCCTCCTCTCCTTCCTTTCCTTCATCATCATCTTCTTCACCTTCATCCTCACCCCCTTCTTCATCAATATCTTCTAATCCTTCCTCATCTTCATCATCATCATCATCATCTTCTGCTCCTTCTTCTTCGTCATCCATATCAGGAACCAAGTAGTACTGTAATGGTTTTGGCCAAATGTCATCTTCAATGACCTCTCCTAACTTATCAGCACCTGCATCAGAATGGTCAATAAACCAGGTAAAGAAGTTCTCTGGTTCTTCATGCTGCCTCTTTCTGCTGTCTTTCTTCTGCATTTGACTTGAACGTTTCGTCAAATCCTTTCCAGATTTCCATTTGATTTCAGTGGAATTTGAAGATAGATCACCATTGTCATTCAGATGAAATTCTTTGGAGAGAACTTTATTTTCAAAGTAAGGATTTTCATCCACCCTGAATGTGCCTGATCAAGTTTGATCTCGGAAGCTAAGCAGGGTCAGGCCTGGTTAGTACTTGGGTGGAATTAGGATATTCTTAATAAGAGGTATAGCCCAAGCAAAGGTAAAAATATAGAACAATCATGCTTGTGTATGGGCTCCTCATGGAAACCTGCTCTGTTAGAATTAGGAGAGTGGGGAGGGATGGAAGCTAGTATTTTTTGTGCTCCTACTTGTGCTAGGTGCTTGCAGCTCATATGTTTTGGGGCGTTTGCTCTCCTGCAGGCCCTCTCTCTAGGAATCATCTCCATACAGGGCTGAAAGGGTGGGCCTGGAGCCATGTTTGTGCCATTTGTCCAGTCTCACATCCTGGTCACGGATCACTGGACCATGGGTGAACGCTGGATCTAAGCTCAGTTGATCCAGTTCATCTCCTAGAAACATGGCACTAGGACACAGAAAAACTAACCCAGTGGACTTCCTATGGAAAGCTGGAGTGTAGAAAAGTCCAGAGTGGGAAATACTGAGAGGTAGAAGGGAACTGAAGAAAGCTGAGATCAGTCCGCACAGCATAGAAAAGGGAAAATGTACACAGAGAAATACACAGGATGTTGTAAGAAAGATTCAGTAGCTCCTGGGAGATGGCACATGTGCCTAGATTCCAACAATTTGGTTCCTGGTTTGTCTCCTGAGGATGCTATATTTCATTTCTTATTCCTTGATTTCAGTTGAATTAGTTTAAGTGCTTTCCTGTTCCTTACGATAAAAATAGCCTTCACCAAGACAGTTTGTTCACATTTTTTCAGATTATCCTCTTAACAATTCATTGAAATAGATATCACTTCCACATTATTAATATGGATATCAAGGCTTAGAGTGGCAATGTGACCTGCCTATATGCATTTGGTTGATAATGGTTGAGCTAAGAGTGAAACCCAGGCCTGCCTGGCTCTAAACACCTTACACTTCTCCCTGAGGGACCTTGGCCAGTGTTTGAATCAACAGTTGATCCCAAAACACTTTGTCTGTAACTGCACAAGACACCTTCACTTCTGATGCTGTGTCTATTCAGGGCCAATTTGTTAACTTTTAGTCATTCTGAGATTCTCCTGTGGAGGTTCAAGCCCAGAAAGCTTATTTAATACATGAATTCAGAATTTGTAAGAAGTCAGATGCTGTATTTATGGCTCTTACTGAGTCAAATTCAATGCAATCCTATGCTTAAAAAATATCCAGATTCTAGTGAATAAAGAGAAACTGGTCAAAATTAGTAGAATTTTTCCAAATCAAGAAAATTAAGAATGTCTTTAATTTGGGGGCCAGCTAAGTAATTTATTCATCCTAAACAATACTCACTGAATGGTTGATATGCCTCTTATATTTTAATAACCCATTACAAATATACCTTCTTTGTGCAATCTATATTCTAGTCATAGTCAACTCTTACAGTTCTTTCAAATACCATGCTACTAGAACCTCTATGCCATAATATGTGTGAAAATTAATTTTCCTTCCCCTATCCATCTGGAAAACTTCCACTCTTTAGGATTCAGCTGAAGGTGTCGCCTCCTCCACAAAACTGTCCACTAACTCTTAGCCTCATGAGGTTAGTAGATCTTTCCACTATGGCCCCAGGAAACCCCAACCTTAACTCTCATCACTGCATTGTAATTGTCTCTTTGCAGTTGAAGTGACATGTTCTTCTCACTCTCATGCCAGGCCACTCTCTTTCCTTTCTAATTTCCACTTCCTCCTCATCTCTCATCTAATAGGAGATGAATTGCTAATCTAATGAACTTGAGATATTGATTGGACTACGTTTCATTAGTGAGTAAGGTTGCCATGGTCAAGACCACTCTATCCTTCCTGTAGAAACTCAGGACTTTCCTACCCTTCCCCTACCATCAAAGAAGGTCTGGGATGTGACTCAGGCAACCTCCTTTTCCTTCTATTTCTCTTCTGTACAGTTGGTAAAGTAAGAGATCATGTAGCCATGTGTGTGATGGAGGTGAGGCAGCTCTACCCCACAGGTCCAGCCATTCTCCCCACATCTTTGTGCAGCATCTTCACCTGTGCATGTCTAGGTAAGCCAGGTATGTTACATACTACCAGCTATGCTATTTTTTTGGAGGGAAAGAAATGGGAAACCCTACTTCAGTTTCCCAGCTGAAGTCAAGTGGTCCAGATCTGAGTACCAGGGATGAGGTCATGAGTGGTGATGAGGTCATTGAGTACCTGCCCATCCACTAACAAAGTGGAACTTGCTTTTCATTTAGATCTGTTTCCTTGTAAACTCTAGACTGTTGTAGTCAGCATTCTGGGCTAGGAGACTCAGAGCAGAGTTTGGCACTCAAACTCCATCCCACAACCCCTATTACACACTTTTTAGTGAAATATTCTAACCCAGTGGGTTTTGACCCTGGCTACACATTAAAATCACCTTCTATACCAGAAATCCAGATGACTCTAACACGTGGCTAAATTTGAGAGCCCTTGCAAAGGAGAGCTTCACAGTCTCCCCCATCCCACCCTAACCGAGGGCATGAGTTCTGCTATAAGGTGGTGGAAGGAAGCTTCAGGCAACAGTAGATTTGAATAGAGCTCAGAGTGAACTTGAATTCACCTCTCTGTGCCATAGAACCATCATCTATAAAATAAGAGGATTCACTGAGAACTCTTGACATTTTCGGAGTCATAGACACCTTTGAAATTTTCATGAAAGCTATGTGCATCTCCTCAAAAAAATGAACATTTGCCCTTATTCAGACATTCACATTCAGCTTCTGGGGTGCTTGGATGCTCTGACACCCTGGCCTACAGGATCACTGAGATTCTGTCCAGCTTTTAGCTCCAAAGGCCAATCTCTGTAATGTGCTAGAGAGGACCATTGGGCGGGCCAGGCTTCATTCCTTTTTCAATATTGTTCAAAATACATGTGCTTTGAACACCAGCACCAGCAAGATGCACATGCTGTGAGAAGCAGGGGGCATCTGATAACTGAGGGAACAGTTATCAGGGAGTGATTTATTAGTAAAATATTTATTGAGATTTTTAAGGCACCAAGCTCTAGGGATACCATTGTGAGAAAAAACACACACAAACCCCACATTCATGATAAGGATATATTCTGATGGAGGTTTTTAGCTTTCATATCACACGTAGTACAGGACATATGTTCACTGAGTGGAATTCACCCATTCTACTTAAAAATCTCTCTTTGTCTCCCTCTGTCTCTTTCTTTTTCTAATGGCCGAAAGGGCATCGTTGATTTTTTAAAAGACAATACAGAATTTCTTGTGAAATTGGGCAAAAGACCCTGCCCCTTGGTCTGCTCTACCCTCCGTTTCCTGTGTCCTTCCACCCAGAGCAAGGACTCCTTGAGGCTAAGGACATGTCCACTTGGGGCCTGCACTCCACCCTTTCACACCATGCTCTTGTCATCCGTGACCCCGTACTCCCTGCCCAAATGTCCCTGAATCTGTTCCTAGAGCTTGTGCAGGCTGCTGCTTCAGATGTCTCTTCCCCAGGCTGGGTCACACTGCTGGTTTATGTGTCCCTGGACCCAAGGGGTGGCCACAGGGCAGCAGTTTGCTGGGGATGTGAAGGAGCTTGCACGTGCAGGATGGCATATCCACAGAAATGCAAGTGAGGCCCATTGCAGAGAGCCAGAACTGGGAAGAGAGGGCCATGGGCTGGGGCTGGGGAACTGCCTCTGTCCAGGCCATCATTTTACAGCTCTGAAACTGAGAATTCTAAATTCAAACCTGGCCTTCCAGGGTATTATAAAAGTATATTTGTCTAAGTAGGTAGATAAAGACATATTTTATTGAACAGTCTCTTAGCCTGAATGATAACTTTAAAGTATTTTTATAGATGGTATTTGGGCCTCCGTTTGTACACTTGTTCCAGGCTCCACAAATAATTGCGAGAGAGTCTAAGGAAGTAGGATTATGGTATGGACCCACCCAAGTTGCTTTGGCTCCTGACAGCTTTCCTTCATAGTTTCTTATAACAACCAAAGTAATAATAGCTAATTTTTTAAAAATAAAACTCTTATTGAAGTATAATATACATATATTAAAATGCATAATCATAGAATAAATACATCCATGTAACAGCCAACTGGATCAAAACAGAACATTGCTAGCATCTCTTACACACCCTTACAATAACCACTCCCTCCATCCTTCTCAAAGGTGACCAGTATCCCATATTACTTTGCCTATTTTTGAACTTTACATAAATGTAGTCACATCATACATATTCTTTTGCATCTGGCTTCTTTCCCTCAATATTATGTTTATAATTATCCATTTTATTGCATGTAGAAATAGTTCATTCACTTTCATTGCTATATAGTGTCCTATTGAATCAATTTACCATTTTTCATTTACTTATTCGGTTGCTGATATGTGTTTGGATTGTTCTCATTTGCTACTAAGAATGATGCTGCTATGTTTATTCTTGTACCTGTCTTTTGGTGTCCATATACTTTCCTTTATGCTGAGTATATATTCCTAGAAGTGAGACTGCAGGATTTTAGGGTGTGTGAATACATTCAGCTTTACAGTACTGCAAAAAAGTTTTCCCAAGAGGTTGTATAGAAAGACTTTTAAATTTTCTTTTATTGATAGAATGCTTTTCTGATTTCTCATTCTCTCATGTCTCAGTTTTGTTAAGGTTTGATTTCCTAGGGATTTATTCATTTTCTTTAAATTTCCAAATTTAAAAATAGACTTATGTTGTTTCTAACAGTCTCTAATTTATTCTTAATACCCATAGGACCTATAATAATATTTCCTTTTTATTTCTAAAATCTGTCTCTTTTTTTATTTTCCTGTTTTTATTCTTCTTTTGCAAGTGATTTATTGATGTTATGAGTCATTTCAAAACATAACTTTTGGTTTTGTTGATTTTCTTTATTGTACATTTGTTTTCAATGTTATTAATTTCTACTTTTATATATATTACCTTTTTCCTTCTACCTTCTATAGGTTTTACTTGCTGGATATTTTTCTAACTTCCT